CAAATTAGAACAATTTTGAACACTGGGCCATCTAATTTTGATGATATATTTTTTCAAAGTCATGATATGTTTGTTACGATTGAAAAGTAAATTTACATTTTGGTCCAACATAAACCAAAATTGAACAAAAATTTATTTAGACAAAAAGATATTTATAAAACATTAGTGAAAATTATTTTTCTAGTTAAAATCTTATCAATGTTACTTAATAACTATTGCTATCATCACCTCCATTACTACCACCGCCAACCCACCACCATGTCCACCATTACCAACCCCCTCAACCACTGCCACCACCCCACCACCACATCCACCACTACCTCTCCTACCATGTTAGTTTCATAATTATAACTAAACTTAAGAAAACGTTTGGTATTTTATATAAAAATTATTTTCATCACTAAAACAAATGGCTAGCTCTAATTACACTTCTATATTCTTGTATTGTAGAGTTTCTTTGTTGAGTTGGCTGTTGCATTTTGTTATTTTAATTATTCTTTCCTTGATATATATATACACATTTCATATTTATAAATAATTTTCTACGCATAAAAAAAAAAAAAAAAAAACCAAAAAAAACCACAGTCGCATATGATAAATCAAAACTTAAATTTTTTTATTAAAGTTGTGGAATGTAATTTTTTAACCGAAGAAAACAATTTGTCATTTTTTTTGGCAAACGTCAATAGGATTTTAGCAATTCTGCGATCTTAAAAAAAATATTTAAAAAATATATTCAATGATTGAAATTAATTTCATATATAAATTCTATTTTATAAAAATTAAATATCAATCATACATCACTTTTCTTATTCAATTCTTATGAGTCGGTACCATTTTTCTCCAAATTTATATATTTCATCGATTCCTAAGATTCTCCGTAATTTCTCAAAATCCCACTCATCACTCTGTGCTATGTCTACTATAAAATTCAACCATCTAAAGGCCTTCGTAAAAATGATTAGATCTTATTTGGACTCCATTGTAAGCTCCAACCGAAGTAACTTGATCCTTGATAGGAGGATTTTTGTCAACATAGATGAAACATTCATTGTCATGTGAAACATTCTTCTTTGCTCTTTACCCTTTTTGACATGACATTGAGAAGTGATAACCCAGAAGAAGACAATCCTGTTTAGTGGAAGTAATGACTATGGATAAGAATAGTGCATGCTATTAAAGTGAAGGGCATATTGGGAGAAAAAAGAAAGAAATTTTTTCCGTGCTTTACCCTTTTTGACATGGCATTGAGATGTGATAACTCATAAGAAGACAATGCTATTTAGTGGAAGTAATGGCTATGGATAAAAATAGTGCATGTTATTAAAGTGAAGGGCATATTGGGAGAAAAAACGGAATAAAAATTTTCCGTTCTGATTATATTTATTTCAACTTAATTCTAATAGTTTAAATTTGAAAGAGTATTGATATATAATTTAAGAAGTTATTGAATATTTGTCTATTTGTTAATGGTAGGGCTGTTCAAAAATCCGTTCAAACTGATAATCCGGACCGAATCAGACCAAATCGTACGGTTTGGTTTGATTCTATTAAGAATTTGTTTGGTTTCGCTTTAAGAAATATGATAACTGTAAAAACGGTTCGGTTAATGAATTTTATGAAAAAATCACGATTCGAACCGAACGAAACCGAATTTTAAAAGATATATATATAATATCAAGTTTTATTTTTATTAATTGGTTTTTTGTAATTCTAATGATATTAGGATGATATAGATATGTAATGTTGAGTAATGCCTTAATATTATTAGTTTTTATCATGAGTTAAATGTAATTAATTTGAGTAATTATTTTGCTAATATTAACAATTTATTCTTGTAAACATAAAATTTTGGAACCGCGAACCAAACTGAAATCGAACCATTATTTCGGTTTGGTTCTGGTCCAGTTTTACAAGTGTAATAGTCTGCTCTTGTCTCAAAATCGCAGAACTGTTAGGATTGGTTCGGTTCTTGGATTTTCTGAAAACCGAACCAATCGGAACCTAGTTAATGGGCGCTGTTTAAGTGTGCAACCCCCGTAAGGTTGCACACCATATGCAACCCAATTTTTAGCCATTAGATTACAAGACCATTGAATTGTTTAATCGTGAAAAAGTTGAAATCGGGCAACCGATTAATGCTTGTATTTGCATGATTGCATCCCACTCACTCTTTATATTTCGTCTCTATCTCTCTCTGTTCTCCTCTCTGTGTAAGGTTGAGTCAGTGTAACCCTTGATTTTTATTAACAGTGAGAAGCCCCTGCTGGGTTCCATTGACGAAGCTCTGTAGGGAACAGTATAACGGGCGATTTCCAACAACAATGGAAATACAAGGCTATGTTGATTCCATTGCTGAAGTGAAGGCGTTCTCTCCAACTAGATATAAGGTATGGAGATGTCTTCCTTTCTCTCTCTCTCTCTGGCCTCTTCACTTCAGCTATTTTCTCTCAACTAAACCCCCATCCTAACTTCAACCGCTCTATGCTTCCCTCTAACGGAAACCCCTCCATTGGCAACTAACCTTTCTCTTTCTCAAGCGAGTGTTTGTGTTTGCACAAACAATTAAACCGTGTGAAAATGTCATGTTTGTGTTTGTGATAACATTTTTTGGTCACCAAGTAATTGTTTGTACTAAAGTCATGTATAGTATGGCCCCAGCGGAAGTTAAAAGGGAAGGTGATGATTATGACATTCCAAATGAAGCAGATGACATTCGTTTGATCAATGAAAGTCGGGCGAAACCTTATCATGGTTGCGAAGCTGGTCCGAGCAATGAAGAAGCAACCAACATAAACGTGAAACAAGAAATGGTTGACGATGCTCATCGCAATGACATGGTTGGTGATGTTGAACGTGCTATTCTGGAACAGAAATTTGATTCGGTCGAAGATGGAGAAGTTTTCTACAATGTGTATGCTAAAGCTAAGGGATTTAGTATACGAAAATCTAGGTTTAACACAAATAAAGAGGGAAAGGTTGTTAGTAGGCTGTGGTTGTGTTCAAGGGAAGGTCAAAGATTACCAAAATACTTGGACCGTGTTGCTGAGAAGAGTAGAGCTCCTAAGGCACTAACAAGAGTAGGTTACAAAGCCCAATTTTGCATACGGTACGATGCAAATACTGGTGAAGGGGGAAAGTATGTTGTGACTCACTTCGTCGCAGACCACAACCATGAATTGGCGGAACAACACTGTGTGATGTATCTGAGGTCAAATCGTGGTTTAAACAGCGCTGACAAAGCTCAAGCAATGGCTATGCACAATGTCGGTGTGAAGACTGGCCAAATCATGGACTATATGGTAAATCAATCTGGGTCTTATGAGAATGTTGGTTTCATCCGTACGGATCTACACAACCATATTCAAGCCGAACGTAGAGCAGAAGTTGAGGATGGTGCTTTCTCTTTCTCAAGCGAGTGTTTGTGTTTGCACAAACAGTTAAACCGTGTGAAAATGTCATGTTTGTGTTTGTGATAACATTTTTCGGTCACCAAGTAATTGTTTGTACTAATGTCATGTATAGTATGGCCCCAACGGAAGTTAAAAGGGAAGGTGATGATTATGACATTCCAAATGAAGCAGATGACATTCATTTGATCAATGAAAGTCGGGCGAAACCTTATCATGGTTGCGAAGCTGGTCCGAGCAATGAAGAAGCAACCAACATAAACGTGAAACAAGAAATGGTTGACGATGCTCATCGCAATGACATGGTTGGTGATGTTGAACGTGCTATTCTGGAACAGAAATTTGATTCGGTCGAAGATGGAGAAGTTTTCTACAATGTGTATGCTAAAGCTAAGGGATTTAGTATACGAAAATCTAGGTTTAACACAAATAAAGAGGGAAAGGTTGTTAGTAGGCTGTGGTTGTGTTCAAGGGAAGGTCAAAGATTACCAAAATACTTGGACCGTGTTGCTGAGAAGAGTAGAGCTCCTAAGGCACTAACAAGAGTAGGTTACAAAGCCCAATTTTGCATACGGTACGATGCAAATACTGGTGAAGGGGGAAAGTATGTTGTGACTCACTTCGTCGCAGACCACAACCATGAATTGGCGGAACAACACTGTGTGATGTATCTGAGGTCAAATCGTGGTTTAAACAGCGCTGACAAAGCTCAAGCAATGGCTATGCACAATGTCGGTGTGAAGACTGGCCAAATCATGGACTATATGGTAAATCAATCTAGGTCTTATGAGAATGTTGGTTTCATCCGTACGGATCTACACAACCATATTCAAGCCGAACGTAGAGCAGAAGTTGAGGATGGTGATGCACAGGGTGCGTTGGTTTACCTATGTGCAAAACTTGATGTTGACGCACGTTTTTTTTTACAAGTATGATGTGTGTAAGGATAACAAGTTACAAAATCTGTTCTGGGCATATTCGAAATCGCGGGCTGACTACGCAAAGTTTGGTGATGTGTTGATATTTGACTCAACTTACAGAACCAATGCATACAAGAAACCTTTTGTCATGTTGGCTAGTGTGACTAACCACTTTAGGACCACGATATTTGCATGTGTTTTGCTAGGTAATGAGACAATTGATATATACATATGGGTTTTGGAAACATTTATGGAGGCGATGGACAATAAAGCACCTGTGTCCGTACTGACAGATAGAGATAAGGTGATAGGTGGGAAAGTGACAACGATGCTTAGGGAGAAGTTTTGGGCGGAAGATCTCCACTTTAGGACCACGATATTTGCATGTGTTTTGCTAGGTAATGAGACAATTGATATATACATATGGGTTTTGGAAACATTTATGGAGGCGATGGACAATAAAGCACCTGTGTCCGTACTGACAGATGGGGATAAGGTGATGCGAGAGGCAATCAAAAGAGTATTTCCAGACGCAAGACATTGATTATGTAATTGGAATCTTGGGAAAAATGATGTTTCAAATGTTCACAAAAGTGGCTTTGCACATGCTTTTAAGCAGTGCATGGACATGGAAACGGATGAGGCAAAGTTTGAGGATGGCTAGACGAGAATGATCGAAAAATTTGGACTTCAAACCAACAGCCGGGTGTTGGAGACATATGAGAAGCGTCATATGTGGGCTGAAGCATATATGCATGGATATTTCTTTGCTGGGATGAAGAGCACTCAACACTCGGAGAGTATGAATGCTTATTTCAATCCCTTCCTCCAACACAAATTGAAGTTATATGAATTTGTTAGGCACTATGATCGGGCTCTTGCAAGGATAAGGTATAACGAGGCTGGAGATGATGCTGAAACAAATAACAGTTTTCCGGTATTGATTACTCCATTGCGAGATAGAGAGAGACATGGAGCTAAGCTATTCACCCGAAATATATTTAGAATGTTCTGTGATGAAATCTTAGAAGAGGGGAAGTTGAATGTGAAGGACGTGTTCCCTTTGTCGGATGGTTAGAAATGCTACTATATTCATAAGTACAAGGTGAAGGATAGATCATGGATAGTAACACACAATCTAGTGGATGCTGCAATGAGATGTTCTTGCATAAAGTTTGAGTTGTTAGGGCTACCTTGCTGCCACATGACATGTGTTATGAAAGCTGAAAATTTAACGCAAATTCCCCCAACTTGTGTGCTGCATAGATGGACAAGGGCTGCAAGCAAGGATAGCCAGCAATGGCCTCAACCCTCAATTGATAGCACTACAACACAGACAGCCCGGTATGGGATATTGAGTTCTTCCTACAATGAAATGTGTTTCTATGCTTCGCAATCAACGGAAGGTTTCAAAGAAGCTTGGGATGCATGTCTTCCGATAACGAGCCAGATGAAGGAGTTATATGAGAGGAATCTGAATGATGGGGATGGAGACAAAAGGAAACATTCAATCCCACGACAATTTGGAATTGAAGATCCTGATCTTGTGAAGACAAAAGGTAACCCGGGACGGGCCTTGTCCAACTGTCGAAGACCAAGAAAATGTGAGAAAAGCAAATGCATTGGGCACACAAAGTGAACGTGTCCTGAGGTTCGGTTTAGCCGAACAGTGGGTAGTAACTCAGATGCAGATACAACCCACATCACTGACCGTGAGTACAATGTGGAGTCATTGCCCATTTGCTGCAAACCTGGGTTGGTGGATCCAAGTACACTGCACATTAAGTAACGACGACTATTTTTCGATGTTTCTCCTGATTCTAAACCGTCTGTGGGCCAATACGATAGTGTCGAAGCAACAATGTGCAAAAATGATTTGACCACAATTGATGAGTTGAATCAAGTAATTGTATAATTTGTATGATTTACTTATTCCCTTAATTTATTAGGTAGACAGTACTAGCTATTGGAAACACATCATTGCGAAAAACAGTGTAGATATGTATGTAGTTTTCATTTTGCACGGATTGTTGTACGTAACGTGTAAATAATTGGTTACGTACAATGCCACAAAATGGCACAACGTTACTTATGTACAAGGCCAGGAACAGTGATTTCCCATATTGTTTAAAGTGATGTTGTCATTTGTGTTTGCAGTGACTTGTCATTTTGAAAACTAATTGAATGTGAGATATATATGGGTTGTCTGTGTATTGTTTTGGGTTGGAAATTTGCTTATGTTTGTATTCCAAGATTCCTATTGTGGGTTGCTTGTTTGTGTTCCATATTTGGTTGGATCTAACTGAATGGTTTCTTGCAGTGTGGTTTATCAGCTAACGATGTGTTTGGCTTCGTATTGATTTGTTATAACTTGTTTCAGTAAATTACTATTATATTTCGAGTAAAATACGAATTTTGTCCATGTGGTTTTGCAAAATTACATCCCAGCACTTGCATTTTGTATATAATCCAAGCGACAGTTAATTTTGGGTATTACTTGGAGAAAGTAACCCAACGAACTCGTTTACTTTATCTCTATGCCGATTGTTATATGAATTACGAGTTATGAACAGGAGTTGTGAAGTTATTTCATGTTAACTATGAAAGTGATGGGTTTATTGTTAGTAAAATTAAAGCGGGCCTATATCTACAGCAACCAAGCAGTAATTTAAAGTTGACAAATTAAAGAAGAAAATCAAGCAATTGTGGTATTGGTTCAAATACCTGAAAAGGATGAAGACTTTTTTCAATGAACTGATGGTAATAAAGTAAACTAGTAGAATGACCTTTCTAATATGAGGTGATGGTAACAAATCATAGAAGATAAACCTTTGTTGATTTGAGGTTGAAAAATGAGAAGGGAAAAAACTACTCAAAAGTTACAATGTAGAAAGTAAGTTATTGTGTTGTTGTTCATATGCTCTCTGTTTGCAAACCTTCTGCCCTTTATAGCTCTTATTTCCCACAATCCCATGATCTGCCGAATCTGCAACTGTTTCTGTGCAACTTCTATGACTGCACGGTCATTTCCATGTCTTCAAACCACATAAAACCTTTACTTGTACCTGTCGAAGTCCATATCTTGAAGTTACCACCTGTGCCCAAGTCCTTTTAGCCTTTCCTCAACAGATACAGACTCCCAATTCGCGAATGTTTCCTCTTAGAGGGTGGCCACTAAATCCATGATCACTGGCAGTAACTACTTCACCATGTAAGTCAGGTGGCATGCAAGATTTAATGTTAGTTGATAACCCTTGTCTTCAGGTGGACTTGCCACGTGTCCTCAATTGAATAGAGCACCTATTGGCAGGATGTGGAAAAAATAGGTGCAAAGAGGAATTTTTAAAAAATAACCAATCATAATTTAGCTGAAAATATGAGTGAACTTTAAAAGAAAAAAAGAAGTAGTTTCCATTTTTATGATTATAGACCTGAAATGTATATTTTGTTTTTAATATAAATAAGTTGTGTATTGTGGTTACGTAAAATGTAGGACAACAATTGTGTTTATGTCATTACAGTCCAGAAAAACGGGTATTTCAAATATTAACAAGTTTATCGACATTGAATTTACTGATTAAATTATAGGGAAAATTCAATATTTGAAGGTTTAAAGTCAGGGGGCAGTTACAGTGAGTGGCCAAGTGTTGTGGTTCAGTGGCCTAGTTTGCAAGGATTGTGGTTATGCTTAGTGGACAATATTCTGTCGATTGTTGTCTCATAATGATGAGCGACATGCGCCACAATGGTGAAAAGGAAGGTCGACAGGGAAGAGTCAATATTTGGTAGAGTTTGAAGATTCGAAGTCAAGGGGTAGTTATAGTGGCAGTTATGGTGTAGAAGTGTGAGATCATACAATGATGGGCCACAAAAACAATATAGGGATATTAAAACCCACGATCTCCCTTCTAGGCTTTCCAAGTTTACTAAACCTTCACTTTTATCTATCGATCTCCTTTTTCTTCAGTTTATTTCATGGCCACCAACCGTTTGAAACTTTTGTCGACAGAGCAAGGCTCCTGCTTTGTCTCATGCTTCCTCCTGAAAGTGTGCCCACCAACTCCATGATTGGTGCTAAAAATTGCCCCCATCACTTCTAGGTGACCCACATACAGACAGCCCACTTTCAATTGCTGGACATTCCTTCAGACTAGGCCACGTGTCCTCTATTAAGTGGACCATCTGTCGACAGAGACTGGCAAAACTTGGTGCAAACAATGGCCCCCTTGTTCAAGTTATATATCATATGATTTAACCTTCAACAAACTTGCCAGTTGGGCCCAATTTGTGCTTAACCCAGGATTTATTCCCCTGAGCCCAAGAGATAAGTCCAATAGCAAATTTCTTAATACGGGCCCAAAACAAACATAAATTACAACCCAATATGAGAGTATTTAAATATACTGGCCCCATCATAAGCTATAAAAGACCCACATTTTCAACTTCAAACCACTTCAACTTCATTTCCCTCTGATTCGAACTCCTCAGAGTGTACTCCTTCTTCTCAAGCATTGTCGTTCAAAACCACAGCACCACAAATCATAAGCTATAAAAGACCCACATTTTCAACTTCAAACCACTTCAGCTTCATTTCCCTCTGATTCGAACTCCTCAGAGTGTACTCCTTCTTCTCAAGCATTGTCGTTCAAAACCACAGCACCACAAAACCCTAAGCCACTTCAACTTCATTTCCCTCTGATTCGAACTCCTCAGAGTGGACTCCTTCTTCTCAAGCATTGTTGTTCAAAACCACAGCACCACAAAACCCTAAGCCATGGCGCCCAAAAAATCTCAACTATCTCCATCTGAGGACAACAATGAAGACCTACTCCGCGTCCCAGACCCTATCAGAGCACATATCACTCCTCTAAAATTAGGTATTACCCTATTGCCCAGTACAAGCTCTGTCGCTAAGGCTATGCTAGGCCCTACCTTCACGTCTTGCTTCCCAGATGAGCTAGCTCCATACTATCCCCTTGGTAACGGTGAGAACCTTCTTCTCAACGAACCTAGACTTAAGTGGACTAACTGGAATGTTAGCAAAAACCCACTAAGATCGTGGAGGGCACTAGACTCTGTTTGGCAAAGTTGGGCCAAGAGAATTGAAGGTCATGACGCTGAAGTATGGAAGCATCAGGGCATTAGTGAAGCAATTAGACTGTCGACTAAAAAATATGACATGGACAAAGGGTTGATTGCTGCTGCTGCATGCTTTTGGTCGCAATCTTGTATCTCCCTACTCCTCAATTTTGGTATGATTTCCCCTACTATCTTAGATGTAGCTTACTTGACTGGTCTCCCAATCTTGGGCAATCCAATTCATGCTCTCCTTGAGCCTCCAAAAGTGACCTTTACTTTAAACACTGACATGTGCTATACAGATTTCGCCGAAAAATACAAGAGCGAGCTTGGTTCCCCTGTCGAGGACAAAGAAAGAACTATTTTTTACTTACTTTGGCTTTGTCAGTTTGTTTTTTGTGTCCCTGGGTACAAAATCATGAAGGAATGCCTCCCCCTTGCCTTGTGTATGCAAGATGGCCAAGCTATGGCTTTAGCCCCTTATCTTCTTGCCACCCTTTACAAGGCCTTATTTTCCTTTGTTGACAAGAAGATTTCTGGCAACTGTGGTGGCCCCTTCTGGCCCTTCTAGGCCTGATTGTATGCCTATTTCGCTGAGGCACGACCCCTACCACCTAACACCTTGAAACCAGTTTCTACTCCTATGTTAAGCAATTTCTTACTTATAACCGCCAACCTATCCTCACTTTCAGAAATCATCTTACCATGTTTTATAACCTTCCTTTAAAGAGACCTTCCAACTTGTACATGCCATTTCAAAACTTTTAACTGTTTTTTACTTACTCTGGCTTTGTCAGTTTGTTTTTTATGTCCCTGGGTACAAAATCATGAAGGAATGCCTCTCCCTTGCCTTGTGTATGCAAGATGGCCAAGCTATGGCTTTAGCCCCTTATCTTCTTGCCACACTTTACAAGGCCCTATTTTCCTTTGTTGACAAGAAGATTTTTGGCAACTGTGGTGGCCCCTTCTGGCCCTTCTAGGCCTGATTGTATGCCTATTTCGCTGAGGCACGACCCCTACCACCTAACACCTTGAAACCAGTTTCTACTCCTATGTTAAGCAATTTCTTACTTATAACCGCCAACCTATCCTCACTTTCAGAAATCATCTTACCATGTTTTATAACCTTCCTTTAAAGAGACCTTCCAACTTGTACATGCCATTTCAAAACTTTTAATTCTCCTCTAGTAGACTTCGCTTCCTCTTTATAGACCTTTGTGATTTAGACAATGACCAAGTCCAAGCACAAAATGAGACTTGGAGACACATTCTTACCTGCAGACATGTCTTGGTTGGCTATTTCATATCCTCCACCAAGATGTCCAACTGCAGTTTTGAGACATACTGTCCCAATAAATGGTCCAGGCAATTAGGTCTTTCCCAGGGTATCCTTTATCCTTATTTCCACCCAATCATCCATGAGGAGATTGGGTCCAGAATCTATTTCAAAGATCCTAGGCAAGCTGAATCCATTCTGACAGAGAACACCATCTAAGATTTTGGCCCCTTCTTCTTCAAACTTGCTTCGGACTGCTCCACTGCTTTTGACCATTGGTGGGG